GAATGTAATAGAATATGAAGATATTATATAAATGTATTATAATAAATGTATTAAACAATGTATAAAACCGGTTTATTAAGTTTTATACCATTATAAGATATATTTATACTATTATAGATATATTTTGCTCTTACTTTGCTAAAAATAGAATTTTAATAATGTAACAAATAGTGTAAAGAAACATTGTCATAAATGGAAAGAGCTTTGTATATTAGTAATAAATCAAATATTACTAATATAAAGTAATAAATCAAATATTTTATAACTAAAGTAGATGATAATGCAATTTTTACACATGTAGATGTCATATTATTTGACTCGATTTCATTTTGATTCTGTATTAAATATTTTAGCATTAATATGTAACAATATTTATTTTACAAATAAGCTAATATTACATGTAATGAGAATTTACGTTATTATATTTAAAAAGAAAATGTATACATACATTAATGGATACATTAATCATTAATATTAGAAAAAATTTAATAGTGAAAATAATAAGTATATTGTACTACTGTAACATTATTATTACATTGTATAGTTCATATTTTTCATCGAATAGTTTGTTATAGCTAAGTACATAAGTGTAGTATATAAGTATCTAGTAGTATAAGCGTTTATCTGATCAGGCATGCATGGCGCAGGTCCGAGTCTGTAGTTCAGTTCTCCTGAATCAAGAAACATTTACGAGGTAGTACACATTGGTATACTCGAGCAGTGAATGCTCTTTTGTTCTTGTTAAAACTCGACCTGTTGCATTCTTTATCTTTGTTTTTTACAACACAGAAGATAAAGTTACGGATATTGAATATTGTAAGTAAATTTCTCTAAAGCTAAATATAGATAGAATAGTAAGTATTTAATTATTCTAAAATACGAAAAAAATTATTTTCATATAATTTAAAATATTACACTTATATTATAATAAATAAATAAAAAATATGGATTATTAGTTAAGTAAAAAAAATTTTGTATTTTAGAACATATGATGTAAATCGTTTATTTAAATTTAAATAAATTATTTTTAAATTATGGTTATTTTTTCAGTTTTATAATTTAAGTGATTAAAGTTTATTTATAAAAAAATAAAATAATACATTTAAAAAATATTTATGGACTAATTTAATTTTTATGGTAAAGTTAATAAATTAAAAAATATGTAATTGAGAACTTATTTCATTTGAATATTTACTTTACATTAAGTAAATATCGTGAATTGTTGCGATAAAATAAAATGTTTCTTTCATAAAATATTTTCAACAGTAAATAATTTATGAAAGGTGACCGATTACTAATGAAATTTATTAAAAATTTTGAAATATATTTTAGATATTTATCAAAGTCTAAAATTATTTTAATTTATTGTTTAATTTTTATTCCCGACAAAATTATAAAATTATATACGAACTGGTATAAATTGTTAGAAATAAAATAGAAAAATTATAGTCGTGATCTGTAATCGTTTTGTAACATTTTTCTAGTAAAATTGTTTTGAAACAATGAAATTATGAGTTTAGTTGTTTTTGAACTTGCAACATTTCAACATAATATTTGTTACATTATGTTTATTACGATACATATTTAGTAAATTATTATTAAATATTGATTTAAAAAGAAAATTACATATAAATAAAATTGATTTTTTATTAATTATTTATTTTAAAATTTTTACTAATGTTATTGTAAAAATTCTAATACAAATATATAAATTTTATAACAATTGCTACATTTAAATCTTTCAAGAAATAAAGTAATATAATTTTTAGAACATAACGAGAAAAATGTTACATGATTACTTAAGAATAACTGCGAATATAAGAAGTGCGAAAATTAAAAAATTTTATTTCAAATAAAAAATTCGATTTACCGTCGAAGATTATAAAATCAAATAATAATGTATTAAGTTACATTTAAAGTTATAAAAAAAAAATTTACCTCAAAATTCCATATAAATTTTACTAATATGTTCTACAAATAAAAATAAACTTAAAGTGTATATCATACAAACAAAAAATTTATGCAAATTTTGTTGTTAAAATTTATTGTAATGTAAAAGTAGATACTAACATTTCAAAATTTGCTTGAAAAATATAATAGAGAAAATAATCGTTTAAATAATATGGAAAAATTTGCTTTAGAATCAAATATATTCAAGTAATTGGAAAAGATAGGGCATAGATCAAGGTAACATATTATCTAACAAGTAAACGTGCTTTTCTTTAGATTAAATAAATTTCATAACTTGTAGAAGGTGAATCGAAGAAAATCTGGCACAATACATGAAAACATATTGAATAGATCATATGTCTTATGAAATGTTCGAAATACCACGAAAAATATTAATTTTTTAGATATTTAAAAATATTTAAAGATATTTAAAAAAATAACGGATTTAATTTAAGAAAAAAAATAAGAAATGTACTTTTTATTCATACAGAAACATTTCATTCATCCAGTTTCTTTAATTTATTTATAAATTCATGTTAATATCTAAAGTGATTTCATAAAAAACAGTTTGTAACATAAACCTGCTTTGTGTACCTTACCTTATGTATGTATGTTCGCATTTTGAAGTCTCCATTCGGATGTAATTGGTTATATATATATATATATATTATATAAATGGTTATGAATATAAGACTAACACTGACGTATTATTGAATATACTCGATAAATGGAATTATATAATTTCATTAATTTACAAATCTAAATTATATTAATACAATATACAAATATCAGTTATTTATTTTTTTTATGTATCATATTAAAATAATACGTTTGTTATCATTTTCTTCATCTTCCTTTATATGACATTTTCTTAACATAAGATTATGCTGAAAACATTTATATAAGAAATTGGGAAACACTTTATTTAATACTATTTCATGATTTATTTAAAATTATGTTAACTTGACGACTCATTGAAACTTCATTATAATTTTCACATAAAATAATCTTAGAAGATTATTACAGCAGTTACAATAGATTTTACAAGGAGAGAGATTCTTCACGATACATTTATCAGGATTCATTCGGTATAACTGATATATTTAAAAGCTACTTAGGTTCGCCAATAGATTGCATCACGTTATGTGGCCTGTTATGTTTATATCGTCGTTAATTCCAACCTCATTTAACCTAATTATCTTCTAATAATTTTCTTTAAAAGTAAAGAATAAAATCTACCAGAATAGTACGTCACAAACTAACAAGACTTTACAGTGTCAACACGTAGCTTTGCATCCTAGATAAACACAAGCCACCTCCTTCCTGGAATATAATGCATTATTGGTATCGGTTGTCCAGGAACGTGCGTCACGTTGTAGACTGTCCACACTGCTGATAATTAATTGAACTGCACCGAGACCTGTGAACGATGCCACTTTCTCATAGAGCACATTGAAATTTGTTTTTCACACGTTTTCCTAACGTTATTTGCTACTGAACGTGACATAAGTCTCGTGATTAAAAATACAAAATGTTAAATTCGTGTTTCCAAAACAACGAAATTTTAATTGAGAGTGTGATAAAACGTAAAATATCAGTGCGATTAATGCTGCCACGTATAGACCAATGAAGCATGATATCAATGACGTTGATTTATAACACATTTTAGAAACTTTTATGTATTATAACATCGAAGACTATCATTTTTACGAAAGTTTAAAACATTTGACGCATCTGCGTGAGAATTTCAAGGTGTTCTTGTTTTTCTTGAATAATACTTTATTAAAAAATTGTAAGAACGCCAGAATATAATAATTGAAAGCAGAAAGAAGTTATAGAGTGAAAGACAATCACTGATCGAATTACGATGTCGATCGATGACGCACAAATGGTACATAAACTATACGTATTTTATTGGTTTATTTGGGAACTGTTATATAATCGAATTTAAAATTTTTAATAGATAAAATAATACAATTTTTGTATTTTATTAAAAAAGAAAAAAGATTAAAAGAAGAAGAAAGATAATTTTTACTTTAGTTTTGTGTTATTCTTTCGACACTTGCCACGAGAGGGATATGTATCGAAAACACAATTCCTGAAAGTTCTTTTTAATTATCCTTCTTGTAAATATATATGTACGCACAGTTGTGATCAAATGGTCAGTAATTACATATTGTAATATTACATTTAAAATAATATATTTCGTTGATACTAAAACAATTCATTACACTATCATTTTAATAATTGCATGTTTTAACAGGATCATATTAAGAACACAATGTAATAGTGGCAAGTATAAGCATGCATTCGGAGGATCAATTTATGATGTTAAAATCAAAGGATGTTTTGCGTGAAATAAAAAGCATAAAAAGCAAGGGTTCTAGTCCAAAGATTTGGCCCTCTGTCGCGTATGAGAAGGATAATAGCGACGTCGAAGAATTAAGCACGAACCAAGGGAACAGTTTGTCTATTGGAAGATTTCAAGATGAACGAAATTATCCTGTGGACATCGGTGTAAGAATTTATTTAATAATTCTAAAAATATTTATTTTTATAAGATAAGAAAGATATATTTAATGTTGTTCTTCATTCTATTGCAATTGTCATGTTCACTACGTTACACTTCGAGATCGAGTCAATATGTACAGTTGATGCAACTGATATAGCGAAGTCGTATATTATCTCTGGAACGGTACTAGTGTCCTTGTGAGCCACAAGTTGTCGCTTTGCTATTAAACTGTTTACATATATATTTGTGTATATGTTCACAATGGAATAAGATTTTATATTAGGTTCTAATTTTATTATCTTTCTAAGATATCTTTTAAATAGTAAATATAATAACGTATAATTCATAATATTGCATAATTATTTATAATAAATAATAAATATAAATTGATGACTGATTTTATGACTTCATTTCCACCAGCTATTCATTTATGTGACGTTAAATAAATATTATTTAAATTTGAAAAATACTTTCATAACAATTCGTGTGAAATATGAACTATGGAAAGTTCTGAAATACAGAAACAGATTTTATATAAGAATTATTTGTTATTATCATTCATGGATAATAAAATTTCAATTAGTAGTGAACGTGTTAAAGTTTTGATATTAATATATTCATATGCTTTGATTTTATGATTTCAAATAAATATTCACAAATTTATTTTCTTTTCTAGGCCACGGAGAGTTTTCACTGCGCAATTGGGCCCGCTTTAAGCATCGCTCAAGTATTCGGTATATTTCCGGTGGCTGGAGTACGATCTGCATCACCCTCGAAGCTTCATTTTAAGACATTTTCATTCCTCACTGTTTACTCAGGTTTTATTGCCACAATGATATTTTTCATGACAATCATATCTGTTGTTCACATGTTGAAAACTTTTAACGCTAATACGTTTCACACACGTGGTAAGTAAATTTTTCAAAAGCAATACTGTTAGTCATAACTATAGATTCGTATTGATCGTAAAATCGTCATATGAAATTACGCTGACTTTGATCTGAAACACCACCTTAAATAATCGTTATTTCCTAAGATAATCACACAAAGAAAATAAAATATAACAGCCATCTTTCTTCTTGATTAATGGAACACGCGGTAAAGAAGGACGCGATAAATTAGTGACATATCGCCTTACAGGTGGCATTGCTGCAGCAACGGTTGGCGCTGTATTCTATGGGAACAGTCTGCTGGGCAGCATCTTATTTTTCTGGCTGTCGTCACGCTGGGTACCCCTCCAATCCGAATGGAGGGCCATGGAACGATACATAGACAGGTCGATATTGTAAATATGTGTTGGCAGAACGTACAAAGCGTAGCACGATTCACAAGTTTGTTAATCGCGTTGTTTGCTGCTTATCTAGCGTGCACGCGAGCTTAGATACCTATTAATCAGCACCGCACCGGGAAACTACAATAATTGGTTTATTTTAGCGTGCAAATACGATACTAAGAGATTTCATGATAATTCAGTGCCTGACTGAAAGCTTTTCTCGCAATTGTAAAAAACATTGTTTCGATTTCAAAGTGCACGAGATATACACGAGATACACATTCTTTATTCGTTGTGTTTCTTTTTAGTATTTATTTTAGTATTTTACTTTAGATTCCCAGGGATTTATAGCTATTAGATTGTTGCACGTAAAATATCGTTTATACTGGGTTTAAATTTGTGCGAGTGAATACCATTTATTGAATTCTGCTTTATCGACAATCGTTATTGATTACTTTAAAGGAGATAGCTGTAATATATGTGTATTGAATGTTAATAAAACTTATGATAAAAATCGTAGTACTGCGAGTTGAATCATACGATTTAGATGCTGTTTAGAAATTGTAGTAGATTATTTAAATACAGGAAAATTTCTGTACTTTTAGTTTTACTTTGAGTTATAATAGAAGATTCGTGCAAATACATTTAAAAATACAAATGACAAGGACACGATTATAATGACATAATATATGAGTAATAAATAATATAATAAAACTAAGAAATAATAACATATTTAAACACTGATTTATATAAGAAGTAAGGGTCATGAAACATGACATATAATATTACATAAGTTTTTATATATTTTTTCGCAGACTTTACAAAAAAATTACATGAAAAATTATCTTTAAGATAATTTCGTAAAAATTGATATCTTTTTATTTTTTTATTTCCCAAACCTAACCTGGTAAGCAATTTTTGCTTCCAGATTCAATATACAAAAATATGCAAAAAATCTCTCCATTTTCAGAAAATAAAATCTTGTTTGTTTATTTTTTCGTACATGTGCCATCATCTTTTCTTCCACACTATTTATGCTCAAAGACTCTTTCGCTGCAGGGATGCCAGAATTTGAAGCTTTCTGCTATAAATTCCATAACATTTTTGCCAATAACAAAAAAAAAATTACGTGTAAATTGACGGGTAGAATTATTTTCTTCCAATATTCCATATATGATATTATATCGATTTTTGCTGTGTGGTGATTCAGTATTACCCGTCGAGTGCAAAGGGTTAAGGCAGTTATACATTATACGAGGCGTATGTAATATTTATATATAGTATATATTCCAGCAACGGCAGTACAATTGGTAGTACTTGGAATAAAAAATTTTATTCTTTTGATTCCCTTAGTTTCTGCATGTAGAATCACTCCCCTCCCCCTTCCTGCTTGTACTATCGTTGCTGGGACAGCCTGTATATTGCATTAGTCTCAAGCGACATGGAAAATGATGATAATTTTGTTGCGTATTGTACGAGGATCATGGAGCCACGACACTAGAAAAGGAAATAAAATTTAATTTATTATTTTGTTTTACAGCACTGTCACAGAACCCACGCGTCTTCGATGGAAGTTCTTCTTCCTGAGCTTGGTGGTGCTGGTGTTATCTTTCATAGAGCATGTCCTAAGCATGTTCAACAACGTTGAAGGTTATGACTGGAACGCATCAAACTCCACCTTTCGCAACTTTTTGGAGATATATACTTTGCGCTCGCATTCGTTCATCTTCGACACATGTGAGTTTTTCATATATGGTAACGCTGAAACTACCAACCTGTAGCTGAATATACTATAACAAATAATAATTATCGAACTGGTAGGGTGTAAATAAATAAGTATATATTATTAATTTTTGTTTCTATCTGAATAAGGATCAACGTTAATTTTGTGAGGAGCAGCTACATGTTTTCGGCAATTGCGAAAATAAAATATAAAAAAACTAGTTACTTTGATGTCTTTAGTAGTTCCAGTGTTAACACTGAATTTACTGACAATTCGTATATATGTTATGTTATATATTATGTGTCGGTGATTATGAAATTGACCTAAGTTACACAGACTTTGCTTCGAAATATTAAATATTTTGCATTTGGTAAAATTAAATTGCGAAATGATCATTCGGCACGTTATGGTAGATCCATTGCTAAATACAAAATTAAATAGTAGAGTACTCATGCTCGTTTTCAGTGGACTACAACTTTACCTTCGGTCTGTACATTTTTGTGGTTAGCAAACTAGCGACCTTCACATGGAACTTCACGGACCTTTTTATTATGCTGGTAAATCATATCATATATTTTATCATACATCATAGTCATTTTTTTAGTCGAGTTTTATATCCAGCATATTTATCCAACAACAGAAGCGAGAATAAAATATATCATATTTTATATATGTCATATTTATTCTATATAATCATATGTGCAATATGTTACTAAGTAATTGTTATTAGAAGGTTAAACACAATTATTAACACATTGTGCGGCGGTACTGCAATATTGTGTAATTCTGATGTTATTATATACTATATATATGTACATATATTTATAAGTACTTATTATCTTTTTTTTCTTTATTTGGTATTAATTCTAGCATTCAGTAAAAATATAGTATATTTTCTTATTATGTGCTATTTTGCAAAAATATAAAAAGCTTCATATTACATTATGTCAAATGACACTGAAGGAACTGTAACGAATATAATTTTAAATATCAAAGGGAGAATTATATTTCAAAATTATATTGCACACTGGAATATTTTTAGGTGCTAAAATTACTGACAAATTAATAACAGAACAATAACACTACCGGAGTTAGTAAATATTTATTTTCACATACCCTGATTATTATTATAATTAATTAGTTTGATAGTTTTCATATAATATTCAATAAAATTAAAACAGACACTTCAGCGCCATCTGTCAGCTGCTTTCCATATCTCACATATTTTTGATATATTTACATATGTACATATATATATCGATATATATATTTTAAGTGGATAAATATTCTTACTTTATTTATCACATAAGTACTGATCATTCATTTACTTATTTACTTATTTGTTACCTTACTAATTTATTCAGTTTATTTGTTAATCAATTACTAGCAACATTAATTTCTTTCTCTGTGAATTTTTAGGTTGCCACAGGTTTGGCTGAAAGGTATAAATCTTTGAATAAAAAATTAGCAACCACCGTGACGAAGTATCGACCAACATTTGATTGGCGGGAACTTCGCGAAGACTATGCCATATTGAGTTGCGTCGTGAAAAAAGTGGACAACCATATCTCCCCCATCATACTGTTATCTTTCGCAAACAACCTATACTTCATTTGTCTTCAACTATTAAATGGCCTATCGTATGTATATTTTATCAGAATCTAATATAGGTTAGAATAAGAACGTACAACCTAGGTTAGGTCAATATAGGGCCAAATTTGATTTGGCCATTAGCTAAATCGATTAACTTCACGAAATGAAAAATGTAAATTTACTTCAAATACATAAAATTAGACATTGATCAAGTATTTTGGTATTAAAATTTACAAAAATTCAAAAGGTGGAGTTAATCACTTTAGCCTGTGAACGTCTCACTTACCATAGGACGCACTGGCGCATGCGCTTCTTGATTTTGCAAGCTCCATTTTCTACAGGTCTGCATTTTAAAACCTCACTTCTTACAAGCAACGATATAAAATATATATATAAAAGGAGAATATTTATTTTTAAATACTGCAGCTTGTATGAAGACGTTATGAATATATTTACTACAAAAATAAAAAGATTATTTTTGTCAAAATTGGAAATGCTTCGAGGTTACAAATAGTGAAGACTTACTGTAATATTTATTAGTTCCTTTTTCATATATAATTTAGTAACAAATATCAAAACGAAGTTACCTATTTAGTAATCATTTTCATCCGAATCTTCTTTTTTAAAGCACGTCAGACAAGACCAGTTTTCTAAGCGTAGCATACTTTTTCGGCTCTTTTGCTTTCCTCATCGTCCGTACGTGCGCTGTTACCTTACTTACTGCTAGAATACACGACCAAAGCAAGGAGGCGTTACCATATTTATACAGTTGTTCAGCACCCAATTATGGTGTAGAGGTAATTACGTTTTCCAATTATAAATATTTGTTAAGTATAGGAGAATTCATATATTGTATTTAGGAATAGATATTAACTCGATATTATTGTATTAAATGCTTATAAATAATGTTATCAATGTCATTGAGTACTTATATACAGGGTGTCCAGTTTTAATCGATAAATGAAAATTATTCGATTATTCTCTATAGATTAGATTATGTAGATTATTTTTTATACTAAGAAAATAATTTTTATAAAAATTAAGTTATAATTTGTTATGAAGAACTAAATAAGCACACCTATGATATTCTACTCTTGGCATTTATAGTAATGCGTTATGCTTCATATGCTGGAGCTCGTTGGTTCGATTCTTCTCGAGATGAAAGTTTTTTTTTTTTGGTAGTACTATAATTTTTAGCAATATTTGCAAGTTCTTTTATCGATATTATATTTAATCCCCAAAATTTATATTTTTTGTAATGGATAAATGAATAAATGAATTTTTATATTATAATTTAATACTTTCTTTAATTCTAAGAATTTACGTTATCCGCAATGAACATTAATTTTGTATCTCTAGATTTTTTAAAGTTACGAATATCATATTAATTATTAAATAAAATAATATTATAGTCAGGTTTTAGGCCTAAAAGTCAGAGTGTAGAAGTTACTTTATGAAGGTACTTTCTATAGTGATAAACGTGTTCTATACTCATTTACTAGTAATCAAAATGATAGTGATCAGTATTATCGATTTCGTAATTGTGATAACCTATCGAGTAGCTCGAAGTACGTAAATATGGAACATAATATCATGCGTTTGATATTTCTGTGAAAGCATCAATATCAACTTGATACGTACCATTTGAAATTATAATATTCTTAGTTTTCCAGTGATTACGTTTTTATAAGAAATATAGTTAAAGAAATGATACAGAAATTTATTGAATTAAAATGTTGAATTTTTTTTAATTTATATTAATATGTAAAAATAATAATAATAGTGTTTATATATATGTTTAATTTTATTTATATAATATAATACTTACATAAGATTAACATATATAATATGATATATAAATTAATATAATTTACAGTACATTCTTATAATTGTTATGTTTTCAAATTTACAATAATATATAAAAATGGTAAGAGTAGCCTACATGATAATAGTATCATATTTATGTAATACTATTTATTTAATATGTGATATAAATTAATATATAATTAGTATATTATTTATAATATATTTTTATAATCTCAAATGTTTCTAAATTTACAACGATGTGTAGAAATTATAAGAATAATACAGATAATAATTATATATTTGGATACAGTTTGTATATTATGTATTTTAAAAATGAATATAATTTCACACATAAATAATGTATGAAAATTACTCTAATAACGAAATGAAAAATTCATTCACAGACCCAGAGATTACAATATCAACTCGCAACAGACGAAATTGCCTTGACAGGACTACGTTTCTTCTCGATCACGAGAAATTTCATGCTGGCAGTAAATAAATACTTATACCATTCTACTATGACCTAATATTTTTATTATATTTTATTAAAAAAAGCATACTTATTTCCAGGTTTGTGGAGCTATTATAACATACGAGGTTCTGCTTTTGCAATTCAATGGAAATAAATGAAGTGAACTAACTTCTTATATTAATCTCTTCATAATTGTATTTTTGATAATATTATTGTTAAATGTATAATGGATGTAATTATTATTTTGCTCTCTTCTCGACTAAATTCTTGTTATTTGCATTAATATAAACGAATACAGAATATCTACCTTTAAGTACCACGAAAAAATTTATTGATATCTAACGTGTTTAAATATGTTTGAGAAAATGTTTAATTATTCTTGAGATTTTATTTTTTTATTTTATTCTTCTTTTTTATTTAATTTAAAAGATTTATCTGTTCCTTTTATTTTTATATAGCAGTGTACATAACAACTATTTTAGTAACTATAATAACTGAAATGTTGGTAATAAATTTGTGTATTACGAATAATAAAAATAATAATAATAATAATTTATTACATTCTTGGATTACTTTTCCCACTTTTATTTCTTCTTTACTTGTCTACAAATGACAATGTGTTACAGCTATCAACTACATACAACTACATACTACACGTTTCGATTTTCACGAAAAATTTATTTAAAATTCGTATTATTTTGAATCTTAATAATAAAATTTATATTTATTATTATTTAAAAAATAATGCTAATTACAGAAAAAATTCGTAAAAATTCGTAACGCCTTGTGCCTCTTAAAATTAAATCCGTTATTGGTACAATTAATCCTTTTATAGATACCGAGAATAGAGAGACGAGCAGAAGACTTTTCTTGAATGAACGAATGGCCAAAATTATAGTGCACTATTCGTTGGGAAAAGCTATAACAAAGAAAGAAATTGACGAGTGAAAGTTTATTGAAACAAAGATTCATTTATTACACTGTCCAACAAATTTGAACTGTTTCTCTAATTTCTAATATGCAGTAGATGATTCTTGTAGAATTTACTAACTCAAACATGAGTCTGTAATCGAAATTGCTTCATCACCCACAATTTTGGAAAAATACGATTTTCGTCAAAAATGAAGTATTACTTAAAAAGTAAGAATCTTAGTTGATTTATTGTTGTCTTACAAGTTAAGTGAGTTTTTTACTTTATAAAACGTGTATAAATTATCAAATTTATTATTAATAACAAATTGTCCACAATAAAAATTTATAATAAAAGTGAAAAAATTAATAAATTTGTGGCTATTAATTGAACTTGTAACATATACTTATCTCAAAATGTACCTATAATTGGCGAAAAGTTTATAAATTATTACATCGAATGTTAATAACAAATTAATATTGTTATTAACAAACTGTTCGCAACATATATTTATAGTAAAAGTGAAAAAATTAATAAATTATTGGCTATGAGAGCGGAAAATTAATAATTAATAAAATCGTCGAAGTTCGTAAATTTCCGATCGGGGTGGGGGATCGGTCCATCGGAGGCTATATAAAGGGCGCCGCTCAGGGGCTGGAGTCATTTGCCAGTTTGGCCTGACGAGTGTAATATCTAAAATTTTCCGTGTGCGCGAGTGGGGGTGGGTCCGAAGTGAGGTGGGGTTGGCTACCCCATCCACCTCCACCCCCTTAAATAATTTATTAATAATTTTTGTTTTATTTTCAGCTATTAATTTTTTTTTTTGTTTCCAGGTACTAATAATTCTTTTTTTCAGCTTTTAATTATTTTTTATTTTTTCAGATTGTATTTCTTTGCTTTTATTCATTTTTATTTGGGACTTCGAATATTTCCTATAATATTCGAACGTCTCATCATTGGATTCTTTAATTCTCATTGTTGGATTGTTTATGTCTCATCATTGGATTATTTATTGTATTTCGTTGATTTTAATGGTTTATATTTGTTTTGTTTTTATCATGCTTTACTAATCACTTACTAACCTGTTTCTTTTCAGCTTTTCAGATTTTTCAAGACATCATTGGACGATACGGTATGCGTGCGATTATTAGATCTAAGTAGATTTAAGTATTTATAAGGTAGACTTTAAGTTTTTGCTTGCGTATAAACTTAAGTAGTTGTAAGTAGTTAGAACTTAGATTTCTAGATTAAGTTTCATGTGCGCGTTATCTGTTCAAAGGTAACCCACCTAACTTGGAGCAAAATATATCTATTCTCTTACCCTCTCGTTTACCAAATAGAACATAATTGTCCTCGCGATAATCGCGATCGTTCTTTAGTACCGACTAGTCTACGCGACGTACTCTTGTGTACTCGACAACTCCGCGCCTCGTAAGTCATTCTCACGGCTCGTCTCCGACACTCATTTCTGCCACTGTCAATCTTGTCATGCATCGAGATCTCTGGTGGCTCTCGGGCTGGTGAATAAATAATGTATGAAAATTACTCTAATAACGAAATGAAAAATTCATTCACAGACCCAGAGATTACAATATCAACTCGCAACAGACGAAATTGCCTTGACAGGACTACGTTTCTTCTCGATCACGAGAAATTTCATGCTGGCAGTAAATAAATACTTATACCATTCTACTATGACCTAATATTTTTATTATATTTTATTAAAAAAAGCATACTTATTTCCAGGTTTGTGGAGCTATTATAACATACGAGGTTCTGCTTTTGCAATTCAATGGAAATAAATGAAGTGAACTAACTTCTTATATTAATCTCTTCATAATTGTATTTTTGATAATATTATTGTTAAATGTATAATGGATGTAATTATTATTTTGCTCTCTTCTCGACTAAATTCTTGTTATTTGCATTAATATAAACGAATACAGAATATCTACCTTTAAGTACCACGAAAAAATTTATTGATATCTAACGTGTTTAAATATGTTTGAGAAAATGTTTAATTATTCTTGAGATTTTATTTTTTTATTTTATTCTTCTTTTTTATTTAATTTAAAAGATTTATCTGTTCCTTTTATTTTTATATAGCAGTGTACATAACAACTATTTTAGTAACTATAATAACTGAAATGTTGGTAATAAATTTGTGTATTACGAATAATAAAAATAATAATAATAATAATTTATTACATTCTTGGATTACTTTTCCCACTTTTATTTCTTCTTTACTTGTCTACAAATGACAATGTGTTACAGCTATCAACTACATACAACTACATACTACACGTTTCGATTTTCACGAAAAATTTATTTAAAATTCGTATTATTTTGAATCTTAATAATAAAATTTATATTTATTATTATTTAAAAAATAATGCTAATTACAGAAAAAATTCGTAAAAATTCGTAACGCCTTGTGCCTCTTAAAATTAAATCCGTTATTGGTACAATTAATCCTTTTATAGATACCGAGAATAGAGAGACGAGCAGAAGACTTTTCTTGAATGAACGAATGGCCAAAATTATAGTGCACTATTCGTTGGGAAAAGCTATAACAAAGAAAGAAATTGACGAGTGAAAGTTTATTGAAACAAAGATTCATTTATTACACTGTCCAACAAATTTGAACTGTTTCTCTAATTTCTAATATGCAGTAGGTGATTCTTGTAGAATTTACTAACTCAAACATGAGTCTGTAATCGAAATTGCTTCATCACCCACAATTTTGGAAAAATACGATTTTCGTCAAAAATGAAGTATTACTTAAAAAGTAAGAATCTTAGTTGATTTATTGTTGTCTTACAAGTTAAGTGAGTTTTTTACTTTATAAAACGTGTATAAATTATCAAATTTATTATTAATAACAAATTGTCCACAATAAAAATTTATAATAAAAGTGAAAAAATTAATAAATTTGTGGCTATTAATTGAACTTGTAACATATACTTATCTCAAAATGTACCTATAATTGGCGAAAAGTTTATAAATTATTACATCGAATGTTAATAACAAATTAATATTGTTATTAACAAACTGTTCGCAACATATATTTATAGTAAAAGTGAAAAAATTAATAAATTATTGGCTATGAGAGCGGAAAATTAATAATTAATAAAATCGTCGAAGTTCGTAAATTTCCGATCGGGGTGGGGGATCGGTCCATCGGAGGCTATATAAAGGGCGCCGCTCAGGGGCTGGAGTCATTTGCCAGTTTGGCCTGACGAGTGTAATATCTAAAATTTTCCGTGTGCGCGAGTGGGGGTGGGTCCGAAGTGAGGTGGGGTTGGCTACCCCATCCACCTCCACCCCCTTAAATAATTTATTAATAATTTTTGTTTTATTTTCAGCTATTAATTTTTTTTTTTGTTTCCAGGTACTAATAATTCTTTTTTTCAGCTTTTAATTATTTTTTATTTTTTCAGATTGTATTTCTTTGCTTTTATTCATTTTTATTTGGGACTTCGAATATTTCCTATAATATTCGAACGTCTCATCATTGGATTCTTTAATTCTCATTGTTGGATTGTTTATGTCTCATCATTGGATTATTTATTGTATTTCGTTGATTTTAATGGTTTATATTTGTTTTGTTTTTATCATGCTTTACTAATCACTTACTAACCTGTTTCTTTTCAGCTTTTCAGATTTTTCAAGACATCATTGGACGATACGGTATGCGTGCGATTATTAGATCTAAGTAGATTTAAGTATTTATAAGGTAGACTTTAAGTTTTTGCTTGCGTATAAACTTAAGTAGTTGTAAGTAGTTAGAACTTAGATTTCTAGATTAAGTTTCATGTGCGCGTTATCTGTTCAAAGGTAACCCACCTAACTTGGAGCAAAATATATCTATTCTCTTACCCTCTCGTTTACCAAATAGAACATAATTGTCCTCGCGATAATCGCGATCGTTCTTTAGTACCGACTAGTCTACGCGACGTACTCTTGTGTACTCGACAACTCCGCGCCTCGTAAGTCATTCTCACGGCTCGTCTCCGACACTCATTTCTGCCACTGTCAATCTTGTCATGCATCGAGATCTCTGGTGGCTCTCGGGCTGGTGAGGCATCTGGAGTAATACGGGGGTCCGTCGACCTTAGTCGTCCTGGGTGCCAATCCGTGCACACGACCGGGCGATGGGCGCTGCAGTCGGAATCATTGCAAAAGCGTGCCTGCCTGCCCCTCTAGCACTTGGCGGCTATGTGGTTATGTTTGCATAGAGCCGGGGTATGGAGCATGCGCGTAATTCCGACTGTTAGGCCTCGCATAGGACCCTCGGATTGCCTCTGGGTGTTTCACTGGTTCGTTAGCTGCCTTAGATCATTGAGTAAGCCATGGCGAGGTCGGCAGTGGCAGGTTGGGCGAGGCCCGATCGGGAGGGTGCCGAGGCCCGGAGTTGTCTTGTGCACGGGAGTACGTCTCGTAGGCTAGTCGGTCTTTCGAATAATCGCGAATTCCCTTTGTAAGACACGAAATATAATAAAGTGTCAGTAGAGTCACTTTAATTTAATTCGCTCCAAGTTAGATTAGGGTACCTTTGATACAGGTAGCGCCAGCAGGCTGCGCCACTAGAGCGCATGTCCAGGTCTCGATGCGTAGCCACCTTTTCGTGGTGAGACCTGGTAATTGGTATCGTTTTCCAATGAATAATTTTTGGAAAACGATACCAAGCTGAGAGCTACGCACCAGGTTTAAAATAATTCCTATCTATTGTAAATTTTCAATGTCTTCTTTGAACTTATTTCTATCTTTATTTCCTTCTCGTAGACTGTTATATGTTTGCTCCATTGCACTTGGTACTAGGATTACGCGTAGCTACGGCACTGTCGAGAATAGACAAGCGAGCAATGGTTGCGTCTCTCGTATTCGCATTATCCATGAATATTTTCTGGATGTAATCGAAATGAAAACTGTTTCGACAATTTTGTTCCATGGTTTATTCTTCATGCGTGCCTACAGAATATGATGCTGTGTAGAAAATTCGTAACAAATGAAGAACTTTCTGTAAAAACGCAAGAGTACTGCGTAGAAAGGCTCGGAGGCTTATTTTTGAACTTCGATAACCAATTATAATCTTTCAGAAATACCAATAACTATAATTATGGACATTGATAAACTCTGGATATTCTAACCTAACTTTCGAGATAAGAATGAACATTCTAACGTTCTCACTTTTTATGTAATTCTTTTTAGTTAAAAATCGTACATTTTTAGCATTTAACCAACAATTTTCGAAAACTAAGTGTGATAGAGCAATTTCACTGACGGATTCGTATTCAAGAAAGTAAATTCTATAAGAATCACCCGATGGATGTTACAGATTAAAATTTGTGTTGAACCATATTACAAGTGTCGATATATAACATATTAGATACAAAGAGATGAATAAAATGCATTAATCTGTTAACATATTCGCAGTCAGTGATTTTCTTCTTAATAATCAGAGTTAGTTGAAGCGAAGAAATATAAAAATTGGTGCCTGTAGACTTCAATTATTAAGCCAAGGATAAGAATGATAAAATTGATTTAAAAATATCAATAAAGTATTATGTACTGTACTAGCGTTGTACCAATCTTTAATAATACAAGAATGAAGTATCATAAAGCATTAGTATTTATATGAAATCAAAATGAAACCACTTGAATTCGCGTCAAATGTTGTATTAAAAAGAAAAGAATGTGTCCAATATTCAAAACACGACAAATTATTTGAAAATAATTTTGTAAATAAGATAGGATTTTCATTTGTGATAATTGAGGTATTTATTAAATTTTGTTATAGTAATTATAGTAATACGAAAAACGTAATACATTATAATAAAATGATACAATTTCTCGTTTTTATGTTTCTCAATGTATTCTTGGGCACTTTAGATAACAGATTAATGCTCATGTCGGTAAAAGAGATGAAGGTTGAAACATTATAAATGTCGAAACGAATATGTCAGAGTGACCGCAAATGGCAAGTTGTATTTACATATTTTCAAGGAAAACAGCGTTATTGCAGAATATTCGTAAATTAATGGCAATACTGAATATCAGAGTATTCCAAAGTCATTATGGTTATCTATAGTATTCCATATTAAATCGTTTCAGGTATTATAATATTAATAATATTAATATTTTAACGTTATATTTAATTTTGCAATATTGTAGCAATACAATAATTGCGTATCTATAATCCATGATATATTTTTATTATAATTTCCAATATTTTCAATTTCATATTTGTTATATTCATTATTAAATTCTGTGCGAAACTTTGGGACACCCCGTATAGTAAAAGACGAATAAAAATACAAATACAGAAATTCATTGAATCGTGATTTGTCTTGTAAGGTATTAATTCGTGATAGACGTGTAATTCACACAATTGCATTAAATAAAACTTGTCCTATGTTTGTTAAACATCGAAAGCATCACAAGCAGCAACTGGTCAACGTGAAACAACGATTCGAGATTCCAAAGACCGAGTCTTATTTCTTATAACTAAAAGCCATAGATCAATGGCTTATATTCTGGAATATTTCACACTTTTTATTAAAATAATTACTTTATTATTACACATTTCAATTAATCAAGAATTATCTCTATAACTGGTATTTTATAAATTCTAATATTTATTATAACATTTTTATAGTAAATTGTGAAAACTCCACACGATCTGTTTCGTGTATTTATCTTATGCAGGTTGTTGTCCTATGGCAGATTTGATCATACTTAGGAATATTTATGCTGCAAAAGTTAAGAATATTTCTTATCCGATTGCGAATATATTTGTTTAAAGAGAATTTCAACACATGTAGAGCAAATAATTAAAAGTTTTAGTAATATCATAATTCCGATGTCATAATTTTGTTTAATTTTTATTTAATTTTTATACAAAATCCTAAATAGTAAAATTCCTATCCTGTTCAAACGAATTGTCAGCTTTAAATAATTTGCCTCGGTATGAACGTAACTTAAAACGAAAATGTTCGAAAATTCTATGAAAAATAAAATTAAACTGAAATTAAATTAGAAAACTAATTTATTTATTATCAATTATTATTTCGATATATACACAATTTTATTGACAGTAAGTAAAAGAATAGTAATAATAATAATAATAATAATAACAACAATAAAATTACTTATTATTTATTCAATCAATATTATTTAATATTACTAAGAATATAAGGCAATATTATTAATAATATTTATATTTAGTATTTAATGGAATTCCTTATTGTCTAACAAATTATACTCTACTCACTATAACGTTGTTTATTTTATAAGGCACTATTTTTCAGCGATTTACATGTTATTGCAAAACTATAATTGATTATGAAATTTATAATTCCATTATGCAAAAATAGTCTGTATTGTAAGAATTTCTTTTTTTAAAGAAACAATGATCACAATAAAAAAAAATGTAAAAAAAACGAGAATGCTATTTATTTTAAATATCATGTTACATTTATTGTAATTTTGATATATATATATATATATTGCTGTGCTGAAGGTAAACACAAATATGAACTTAAAAATATAATTATGTAGTAAGAAAATGGTCTTAGTCAAGAATAGAGCAAGGAGTTATTTTACAAGACTATAAGGCATTAGGGTACACTCATCGCAGAAAGTTCGTTGACAAGCTACAGTGCCATCTATTTCAATATTAGAACTATCGAATTAGGCAAGACGGCTAGTATCAATCTCTTCTGTTCTAAGATTCTAATTATGATCTCAGGAGGAAATGTACAATGATTTGCTCGAAAGCTTGAAATAAGAAAATATTCCATTTTGCAAAAGAATATTGATCTGAAGTATATTTCCAGGTTAAATCGAGTTAAATTAAGTTAAGTCAAGAAATTTATCGAGAAAAGAGATATCGAATTGTTATCTACCTCAGAGCACAAACTCTTATAAGTACTTATAGATTTAATTCAATAGCAATATACTCAATATTCTATATCAATATACTAACAACTACTATACAGTTGTCAAATTATTATCTAACACTGAATATTAATGCAGATGAATTATAAAGTTAGTATACAAATAAGAAAAATTATTCGAATCCGTGTCCACCAAGCTTCTATCGCATAATGCTTTTTATTGTTAAATATACAAATATATTTCGATAAAACTTAATAATTTTTCATTTCGTTGTACAATTATAGTTTGTCTAAAAAAGCTATATTTATTTTAAAGCTACTATCGGTTCTAAAAATATATAACCGTCGTACAGGAAGAAATGTTTTTTAGGTTATGTCAACTCACTTCTGTGGCGAGTGTAGCTCGGACAGCACGATACAGACGCGCTCATATATACAGCAGTTTTGACAATAAGCGCTGTTACATTGAAATTATAAAAAGAATTAGGCAAATTGAAAAGCAAACGGAATGTTCAGGCGCAAAAATACGAAGACTGAGAAGAAATTCCTGTGCGACGAAAGATGTTTGAAAACTCGATTACTTCACCTCGCACGCGGCCGTACTATTCGTCACGTCATTTTGTTGATTAGCGTTGAATTGGACCAGGACCAATTCGTATGTGACTATAGTTCCCGCTACCTGAAATATATTTATATACGTTTCTTTAATTTGAAACATTTTTTTTCGTACATATAGGTGTAAAACGATTTATTTTTGCTGTTTATTTGTTCTCGGTCTTTTAAAAGGAGAAGTATTTTAATATTAGAAAGAAACATGGATGGAGCTGAAGCTAATTTTGGTCGAGAGGTTGAAGTATATTTTGTTACCAGGAGAAACATATTTTGTTTATGAACGATAAAGTATGATTTGTTTAATTTATTATGTACTGTTACCGTGTAATTAAGTACATGTCGTATGAATAATTTGATGTAATTAACTATATTTTGTGATAATTAGACATGTATACAGTAAAACGAAATTATGCGGAATATCGGAAAGAAATTATTTTTAGTAGGAATTGTGAACTATTATTTGAACGAGGAACCATAATTGTGTCCTTCAATACGTACAGTTAATACGAGGCTCCTGGTCACTGAGAAGAATTTCATTCCAGTCAGGCAGATATTGTCCGTTGTTACTTGCGATAAGAATCTCATTACCTATTAAACAAATAAAATAATTCTTCTCAAAATCAGACAAACATTATTATCAAATTAATTTTTAGATTAATAGTTAACTATTATTATTAGGAAATTAAAATTGCTACATTATTAAATTATTATCAATATAAATTAAAATATTATTAATATTGGCAATTACGTTATTATTAATATAAATTAAAATATTATTAATATTGGCAATTAAATTATTATTAATATAAATTAAAATATTATTAATGTTGGCAATTAAATTATTATTAATATAAATTAAAATATTATTAATATTGACAATTAAGTTATTATTAATATAAATTAAAATATTACTAATATTGGCAATTAAATTATCAATAATATAAATTAAAATATTATTAATATTTGCAATTAAATTATTATTAATACTAGAACTACCAACTCAGTCAAAATGACAGGTCCCAGAATTTTCCTTTTTGCAATCACCGAACACATACACCTGCTTTAAGAATAAAATTGGTATCAACTCATATCAAGAAAGAACTGTAATCAATATATTCACTCATATTCATCGTACCGCTGAAATTACTATAATCTGTGCATGTTATAGTTTGGCACTCATTAAAGATCAGTAGTTCTAGTGTTAATAGAATATAAAATAATATTAATAAATAAAACATGAAATTTTATTATTTACACTAGATATATGAAATTAATATTTAACACTTAACTATTTAACACAATCAAATAGCTCAACTATTAGTTTGAAAATTCATATCTTTCGTACGTTTTCAAAGGAAAGCTTTTTATCCGACATTTTACGATCGAACGCGATTGAAATCTTACTTCCGTGGAGTAACTGCTTCCGGAGACGCTGTAGAGCACCGGTGCCGGAAGTAGGGACTCATCGTGAATCGATGCGGCACATAGAGAGACCACAGTCGTCCTGGTTAATAGGAATCCAAAGGAGAAGCCGAAGTATAGTATCTCACTAGTGTCTTGCATAGGACTATTCAAACGTGAAATAATTACTTAATTAGCTTACGTGGCATTCCTACAGCGAGTAACAATTAAGAACATTAATAACATTGTGTAGAATGAGAGGAGGGTGGAGTTGAAGCTAAAAGATCAAATTTTTAGATAAATTAAATCCTGAAATTTACATATGTCGAAGAATGTGAGAGATTATGCGAGTTGCTAATTTAGGCTGCAAATTCTAATGCAATTAATCCATATAGATTTTAATTTCTAAACGATTACTTTAAATTACTATTGTTTTTAATCCTACATTATAAAGTTTAAACAGATTGGAGAATATGAGAGACTATGTAGATTGATAACATAGGTGACAAATTATTTTGATATGCAAATGAGGTGTATAGATAAATGAAGTTCTACTTGTAAATTATTGCTTTAAATTAATATTGATTTTTTTTAATAGAACATTAGAATATTAGCTTTTTATTTAAAGCACAAGATATACCTTAAATCTTATTAAATTTAATAATATCATAATAAATAGAATAATAAATATATCAATAAAATAACAAAATAATAATACTATAAATATGTTAGAATTTTATTATGGAAATACATAATAATATTATCAAAAATATATCAATTTTTATATTATATTTTCTTTTGCTCTATCAAACTATTTTTCTTTTCTAATCCTTTTTGCAGACGAATTGTTTTTATAATGAGTGCCTTTAATCAATAAATTATGGAAACATAAATATCTCCAGTTGAAATTATTGCAAATTACTAGGGACTATTAAATTACAGAAAATACATAATTCCATAAATAATAAAAATTAAAAAATCTTCGACCAAAATTTCCAATTTTTAAGATTCTAATTTTAAATCCCATTTCTTCTGATTTCGAATTTTTCAAGAAAGAATATCCAGAGACCTACTGCAATAAAATTGTACGATCACTTGGAAGTTAACAAAGAATAGGAAGATACAACGTTGGAAGACACAAAAGACGTTGGAAAAATAAATTACAGTTAAGACAGATCTATATGCAAGAGTGAATCGAGAGGACATGCACAAATAAAATTACGTTCTGTCCTGTATACTTGAAAGAGAACAGTAGTTGTATGCAGATGAAATACAGATCGGTGGCGAAAGAAAGGAGAACCATAATCGAGATATGGGTGTCCAGTTGCCTCGTCAAGGATGCCAAGTGGTTGTAGTCGCTCCTTGCCTCGGCCCACCACCATTCCGGCATTGCCTTAACAACGAAATGATGCTAACGACCAATATTCGTCATTAGAAACGATGATATTTCATATATTATTACGTTAACGATTATTCGAACAGCTGTGTAGCAAAAATGGAGGAAATAGTTACTTTTTCTCCCTAGCTTAAATCTTTATTTTAGCATAAGTGATATGGGTGATACCGAGCTTAAAAAATATAAGAGAAGCTCCGAATTGTTATATCTTTACAGTGAAAAAATTTTTGAGTGCAAAGGGTTAATGATTTAAGAGAATAAATTAAACTTTCTAAATTCAAATTCATTCAAATTTATACAGATTCAAAATAATGTTTAATGATTCAATAAAGTAATTCAATCAAATAAATTAAATAAATTACGTTATAGCAATGTACTATAATAGTAATGCGAATTTTGCAAAATTATAAATTTTAGGATAATTGTTTAATAATTGTATACGTTAGAATTTATTAATTTCGTCATTTTAATATTTTAAGATAATTGCATGTACTTGAAATGATAGAGTATACATTAATAGCTCACTAGAATGAAATCTGTACACGTTCCCCTCATTACTATACGCTTCACAAGTTGTGCTATCTATAATAGTATCTCTAAATGAAATCTTTTTCTTGTAAGAATAATAATATTTGAATTTTTAATGTCCGAAATGTTAATATTAAAATTCTCTAACAATACAATTTTGTAAATAAAATATACCAAAAATATAAATATAAATATATATTAAAATATATATAAATATAAATATCATCATATAAATATGTATAAATATAAAAATATATATATGTTTGTTCACAGTGTATATTTTTATATATTTTTTATATGTATATAGATATATTTATTTTAAATATTAATATATTTTTTAACGAATAATGTTGTGCAATAAGTTATATTTATTTTTATAGAAAAGCGTTTAAAGTTGCTTACCTTGCCTCTTATGGAATACAAGCGACTATTCAGTTGTCGAAATTGGTCCGTCAAAGCGATGCTAATAAGAATAAGGAACAAGTCGACAAAATTCCACGAGAAGGTACTGAGGATGTTAATGACGTCCACTAATATCCCTTTCCATAAACTGTACTCAGTCGTGTACTCGAATATCTGGTATAATATGATAGAACGGGTAAATTCATTTTCCAAAAGCTCTCCAAATTTTAATCTGCCAACAAAATATTCGACGACAAATCCTTTACCTGTGGAAATTGCAGCTGAAAATATACGCCAATGATATTCGTGTCCCCTCGATGTTCAGCACACTCTTTAGCTTTCATGTAACCGTGGAGTATCGAAAAACTGTGTTCGACTGAAAAAATATATTAAAAATATTTGGACTTTGTAAAATTTCTTCAAACCTTTTTAAAAATCACATGTTACGAAAATATATATATTGGAATATTAGAATATATTTTAAATAAAACATTCTTAACACGATGCAGTCGTAAAGGAATTAAAATAATTATTGGCTGAGAGCAACAAAATTTTTGTATCTCGTTAGTCTTGTCAAGAAGCAAGTGTAACAGAATTATTATAATTATTCTATAATGCAATTATTATTTTTAAAACAATTATTTTTATCATTCTCTGTGCTCCAATTATTATAACTAAAAACAGAATTATTCTAATAGTCTATTATTTTTGTTTCACTTCAAATGTTATTAATCCAATAATTATTGTAATTACTATATCTTTCCACACTTATTATAAAATTTATATTATAAGATTAATAGGAATTAATACTATATAACAATAAAAATATTAAATAATATATCTATATATTTCCTTAATTAGAGTAATAATACAAATATTGTAATTATACTATTATACTAGTACTATTATAATAATATTAATAAAAATATTTCTATTGATAAAATTACAATACAAGCAATACAATAATAAAAGTAACACTCACTCAATGCAAACGTCATCACCACCACAGTCACAATCTTGAACTTCGTGGATAAACTAGTTTTCGAAATTTTTCTATGTCTATGTGAAAGCTCTTTCTCGACTTTCTCCCAGGTTAACATCAAAGATGGCCATTGCATAGCCAATTTTAGGAACAGGAAGGAGGCGATCAAATTCGTTCCATTGAAAACGAACGTGGCTTGTGTAAATAAACGATAAACCGTATTATTTATGAGCACCAATGATAATTCGACAATTTAACCCACCTGTTGTACTCGAATTTACAATGTGATTCAATTGTATATTTAAAGGAACGTAATATTTTTCTACCGAATTTTACTTCTATCTTTCTTCCAAAATTTGAGTATCGTCATCCTTAAGAAATTTTTAAAAATAATTTGGAAATTACAAAGAAGAATCTTCCGCAGTTCGCGAATTGCAAACGTACAAAATCTATTTCAGATTTAGAAATTTTCTATTTTCTATTTTATGAAATTTTCTATTTTAGAAATGGCGAATGAAAACAATTATTATTTGCCATTGCTGTGCAAAAATCGCGAATACTAAAAGTGATCCCAAAATTTTGACTGTTAGTGTACGTATTAAATTAAGAAAATATGATCGTCTCCTTACTCATTTTTGTGGAATTTATTTTGCAGTATGTTAGCCTCAAAATGTTGCAAATGGTCATCATTGACGAGGCAAGAAAGGAAATTGCACAATATATAAACTTCGGACTGCGCCAAGTGAACCTAAACGTAGAAAATGTACTTTAAACAAATATATTTAAAACAAATGCTTAATATTTAATATTTTAAACAAGTTATTTCGAATAACAATAAATTAATCTGAATGAAAATAATTAATCAGAATTTTTTAAATTCGCCAAAAGATATTAAGCATATTAATTATAATTAATTAGTATTTATTTAACATAGAGAAATAATTCAACTATCTTCCAAAACAATGATCCATAGATCTGTAATATGTTATCAATAATCTGGAAGATAATCGTAGATCTTAGATTACCAAATTTTTTTAAAACTATCTATTTTCACTGTCATTTATTACTAAACTATATCGAAAACTAATAATTATTAGTCTCCGAATTTGAGATAAAATTAGAAAAAGAAATTATAATCGATAGATTACCAAATTTTTTGAAAACCACTTATTTTCACTGTCATCTGTTACTAAACTATATCAAAAACCAATAATTATTAGTCTCCGAATTGGAGATTAAATTAGAAAAAGATATTATAATCGATGACAATCTTCTTCCTCTTTTTGTAACTAAAAACAAACAAATAGTATAATAATACTACTGTATAATAATACCACTCTATAATAATACTACTGTGTAACAATACTACTGTATAATAAGACTACTGTATTACAATACTACTGTATAACAATACTACTGTATAATAATACTACTGTGCCTCTAGAACAATCTATAGTTAGTTTCATCCGTACTACCTTATCAATAAGGAAGAAATTACCTCAGATAGGACGCATCAGGAGTATTAACACCGGATACAGGAAACAAGGAAAAGCATTGGGCCAACACGATGATGGGCCTCATGGACGCGTGCAGGCTGTCAGTCTCTGGATTGAAGGCACTATTGGCAGGTGCCGGTTCCGACACTAAACATTCGGTTTAAACTTGTTCAATTTAAACTGACCTCGACTATATGTATTATCGATACACAAACAATATTTCAATTTACTTCCGATAGCTTCTATTTCCGTTTTCAAATTGTCCAGCTTGCCAAACTGTGAACTGCTTTTGGGCGACCTAAAAATTTCAATGATATTATTTGTAGTGTAATATAGATTTTGTAAATATGTACATATGTATAAGTCGATTATATAGATCCATCATATACGAGTATCAAGCAATTAGAAGGAATAAATATTTTGACGTTTGATGAAATAAACTAGGAAATAAACTTATCTAGATATTGTCTATAAATTTAATAAAAATGGTGAAATTTTGTATTTATTATAATAAAATAATAATATAAATATATAAATATAATAAAATAATTTTTAGAAACTTTTTGAGGAATAAAATTAATTATTAATATTTAATGCAATAAATATAAGTTTATAGAATTTTTGGTAAATTGGGAATGTCTAAACAGAATTTTCTTGAACAAAGCTTTGTATGAGAGTATTTTATTTTATGTTTTTAGCTTCTTTGCTAACATAGAATCATTTCACAGTGTTGATGTACAGAATACCTTATACAAAATTTAGGGTGAAGCATTACAGATTAGGACTTTGCATAATTTCTGTATACTTGAGTTTATGTAGTAGAGGAATAAAAGATTAGAATATAATATTAGGAAAAGTGAAAATCAGAAATTAATTAATAATATTTATTTTATAATTAATTTGTATTACACACTTTTGGAAACTTGGCATATTGGAGTTGCTATACATTATATAATTGAATCAAGTTGTACCTACTTCACAATAATTTTTAGTCGTGGAAGGTAATATTTAATTTATCATAATATATAATTATTTTTCATCATTTAATTTTGTCTACGAAAAATCGTAAGATTAATGATTTTCATTTTGCGAATTATTGAAAATTTAATGCTACCCAATAATACCTGATAAATTATAATATTAATTAATTTAAATTTATATACTCATTGATAACATAATCATATTCCATTTTCTGTTCTCCAATCTTCTATTTTAATACTTTCAGAAGGATTTCCACAAACACATCATAAATCATTTCGTTCGCAAGAAATGTCTCTACAACTATACTACGTAAACAGAGAGTACTGTGTCTAACAATCGATATTATCCGACAGCATTTGTTAACATTACTCGTTTATTTACGTTTGCTTACATTGTATCCGATAATCAAGATAATCACAAATCGTCAGATTTTCCATCTTCATACCAATCAAAACACGTAAAAGGTAAACAAAACTGTATTAATAAAATACTTCATCACTCAATTTCAACCATTCAATACAAACCACGTTCCTTTCCAAAGAAACATTCCAATAAAATTCATCGAAAGACATTTAAAAATTCAATATTTCGCGCCAATTATACGTATCATCGATTAACGGTCTTTTATTCCTTAAATTCTTCAAGCACTTTGAGCTTCAATAAATCGTCCATTAAGAATCAGTAAATTGATTGGAAATCACCAAAATCCTACTAGTACCATTAATCTGTAACGATTCACCCTGTACACTATACTATTAAAGCTGGCCGAAAATGGCCGATGAAATGGCGCGAAATTTCAATTCACTCGGTAAGAACAAACGACACTGGGACACGTAACAGGTAAAATAATCGAACACGCAGGTAAATAAAATTAAGGAGAAGGAAAATTAATCGAAGCATGACGGATTCTCGTTGATTGCTCGATCGCGATGATGATCTATATGATCTCTAAACCTTCTACGTGGAGCGTCGCGATCAACGGTGTGCACACCACAGGATCGCATGGTGAACAGAAGATAAACTCGTTATTTCAGAGTTTTATCATGCATCAAGGGAAAAGGGTGGAGGGCGTTTTATAGACAGTTCTAGGGAACTCAATAAACGTCCGCTTGAACGACCATTGGGAAGTCTGATTCAATAGAAGGAACTGTTAGCAGATGTAAAAATCCCAGACAGAGAAACGATTTATCCTCGATTCTTCCATATAGCGTTATAGGAAAGTTTGAAGTCGTGTTATTGACATCTTCAATTGTCATGTATCGAAATAAGTATAACTTAAATATAAGTTATTAAATATAACTATTTAATGTGGTAAATAGAGAGAGAAATATGACGGATGGAAACGTTAAGAGGAATTTAAGATGTAGATAAACAATTAGTTATCTAGATAATCAATTAGTTTTAAGTATATTATATTTTTTGGAACTTCTTTCGTTATGAAACCTTTTTAACATATTTAATTTATTCAGTTGGAGAAGCTATTTTAGGGTTATCTTTAATAATTAGAATAAATTATAAATATGGTCATGAAAAAATTAAATTAATTAATTTAAATTAAAAATGTTAAGAGATATGTTAAGAAATTGATTTCTTTTACGTTTAATTCCTATTTCTAGCCACAGTATACTTTTATGACAATTTATGAGATTTTTTGCTGTACAAAGCTCTTATTAATTTTATTTAATGATAATTTAATAGTAAAATACTTTTATTGAATAATAATTTAATAGTAAAATGCTATTAATAGTTTAATAGTACTTTAGTAATAAAATCATATTTATTTAATAATTTAATTTAGTACAATAAATAGATAAATGAGACTTTTTATTGTATAAAACTCCTATTAAATTGTACTTTTATTTAATGATAATTTAATAGTAAAATACTTTTAGTGAACAATAATTTATTGGTAAAGTACTATTAATTATTTAATAGTAGCTTAGTGATAGAAAACTCTGATTTAGTAATAATTTAATAACGAAATACTTCTATGTACTAATAATTTGATAATAATAAAATCGTATTTATTTAATAAGATAAATAGATAGATGAGACTTTTTACTATACAAAGCTTTTATTAAATATTACTTGTATTTAATAATAGTTTAATAGTACAATACTTTTATCGAATAATAATTTCGTGATAAAATACTATTAATTATTTAATAGTACTTTAGTGATAAAATATTCTTGTATAATAATAATTTAATAACGAAATACTTCTATTTTTCCTATTTTGATTTAATAAAATAAATAGATTGAACTGAATATAATATTCTTCGATTATCTACGGACCTTCGATCTATTTTACTTCTAATTTATACGTCAAAAAGTTAAACCATTTTACAGTATATTTTATACTTTATCATACACTAAATGTATACTTTATATTTTATACTTTAAACTTTATATTTTATTCTTTATATTTTATACTTTATACTTTATATTTTATACTTTATCACCTTTTATAACACAGATTGCATTCTTTCGCAATCCCTTGAAATAAATCTTCACCACATATAGCATACACCAAAAGCGTTCTCCCAAAATAATTCCCATACACAAGAATACCCATAAATTTTCCGTACGTACCTAACATTGATCAGCAACGTATCCTGATACTTCGTAGTTGGCAAATTCAGCGGCCTCATTGCGTACAGCGTTTTCCCTGTGCTGCAGTAATTCGACATTTTAATTACACCAGTTCATCAACAATCGAACGATCAGACAATCAACCCCACTGATCCACAACGAGTATAATTCCAACGCGTGAAACAACAAAAAATCATTTCAAATACCGTGACACCGTGAGACATATTTACAGGGAACAGGTCGAAACACCAAAGAGGAACCACGAAGGGTACAACTAAAGACAAAAGGACGTGATACAAAGCCAGACACTTTGACACAGAACACCTGTCCTCTGCTTACACAAAACTTGAACACGATGAACTCAAAAAAAAGAAGCCACATGAAACTATCCACCTACGATCTTCCGACACGTAGAACGTGGGGGAAATTAAAATGGAAAGATCGCAACGCGAAATATCACGCGAGTGCCACTTCCTTCGTTGTGTAGAACGCGTCAGGAAACGAACTGAAAGATATACGAGCAGCCAGCACTAGCTATACGTCGCATAGTTTATATAGCACGTGTATAAACTATGACAGAGAAATAACAGATATGCACTACTGCGTGTAGCTTTATGTACGAGCGGACATTTGACACACTTGCCGCAAATGGTGCTCGATGGCCGTTCATACTACTGGAGGTATGATTGCTTCTGACGATACCGAATGCTCGTGAAAATCAGTCAAACTCAAAATCCGATGATCTTAATGGGAAAAGCTGCGTGTTGAAAGAATTCTGGTTTATTCGTTGTACCTTTGAGAACTATACCTGTGCACTGTACCGACTCTCATGGCGTCTGATTTTTCTAGAAAAATATCTTTTAATTTATCACGATATGCTAGGTAAAAATATTTTCAAACTTATCACTGTGTACTAGGCGAAAAGATTTTAAAATTGATTGCACTGTACTGCGAATACTGAAAATACGATGAAATCTATCTCACTATACTAGGTGAAGATACCACGAAATCGCTTTTAAATTTATTACATCATGCTAGGTAAAAATATTTTAATATTTATTATAACATATCGAGTATAAATATCGTTGACCAATTTTGTAAATTATGGTTACAGTGGAACGTTGATTATGCGAATTTTGAGTAGGTAAAAATATTTATTATGCTATATTAGGTAAAGATATGAAATCTATTACACTATATGAGGTAATCAATTTTAAATTTGTTACATTGTGTTAAATATTTATATTATGAAATCTATTCCACTATATTAGATAAAAATATCGTAAAATTTGGTACACTGTATCAGGCAAAAGTATTATGAAATTTATCTCACTATAGTAGGTGAAAATACCATGGAATTTATTACACTGTATTACTTTTAAATTTATTATATTATATATTTTTAAATTTACAATATTATTTACTATTTAATTATTATACTGTTACTATTACTATTTAAATATTACACTACACTGGGTAAAAACATCGTTGACTAATTTCATAAATTATGTATACAGTGGAACGTCGATTATGCGAATTTTGATAAAACAAATGACCCGATTATTCTATTATATATAGACATTATATATAGGATATTATCTACTATTATCTGAATGTGGATAATGTGTATTGCATTATAATGGGTAGAATATCAGAAAAGCTATATTATAGTATAAATTACTATATTTAATTTATATATATACAATTTACTCT